AGCCCTCCCTCCGCTTAAGGTCCACTTATACAATTGCTGTCCCCATTGGCTCCAATTCTCATGCAAAATTCATTCTTTTCACCAATTTGCATAAAGGCATAAAAGATCCAGTCTCAACACTCTTTTTAGTAAACTTTAGTGAAGGTTACAGGAAGAGCTCCCATTGTGAAATAGCCTTTGCAATTTTCCCACACCTCCCCTTCTCCTTTGCTTTGCAAAGTGAATTCCTCCCTGGCTTCCTGCAGAGCTGTTCTGAGAGCTTTCCCTGGGGATTGGTCTCTTAACTCCGGCAGCATATCAAAAGTACTTACTCCAGATAAATACTGTGTTTTCCCTAAAACAAATCCTGGTGAATAGGATGGCCTCCACATCATTGCACGAGTAATAACTCAAATGGCAGTACTCCTTAAAGAAAGAAGGCAAATGTATGCAGGAGAAAATCTTCCTTCAGTGAAATATAATGCATTGTTTAAAGCTCAACTTTCCAGGGTATCTGATTCTGATTCATTGTCTTTGAGCTATCTATATCTCTACATTGTAGATTATTGTGTTGTGACCGAAATAACCAGGCCCAACTCGAGTGCTCTAATCCAAGAGACAGTTTATTAGCCGGCGGCTGTCCTTGCCAAGGAGCAGCCCCGAGGCGCAGGGGCACAAAGGTTTTAAGCCCTCGATTCCATCCCCCACATCCTTAATTTTTACACAAAAGACTATATCTCCTCCATTCATTAACTGATAACTAAGAGGTGGGTAAGCAAGCAGGGGTACAGAAGCAGAATGCGTCATTGTTAAAATATTTTGTACCTATAGGCAGTGATCCGGCCAGTAAATCCCTCTAGTTAATAAATTTTTAGCAGATAACTAACTAGAAGTGAGAGATGGCAGTTAGCACGTACCATGTCTTATCCTTAACCTATTGTTTCTAAAGGTGAGGTCACTACAATTGATAATGCAAATAATTTATGCCTATATCTATGCAAATTCTGTCAGGACGTTCCTGATTCCTAAGAGGAAAAAGCCAGTTTTACAGCTTTTTGAAAGACATTTCTGTACTCCTATTTTTTGACTTCTCCTTTGAATGGGTTGTAACATTGGTTCTGGTTTCCTCATTTAATTAATGTGTTAATTAAATTTTTGGTGTGTTCATTTAAATTTTTTTCAGCTTTACTGAGATATAATTGACATAAGTATAAGACACTTAAAGTGTACAATGCGATGATGTATTCATTTTATAGCTGCATGACAGTCATGATTGTACCACTTTTAAAAATTATATTTCTAATGTATCAGGGTTCTGGGACAGGAGATGGTAGCACAATTAAATGAAAAATTGAAGAGTGTTTGAAGGGACTATTTACAGAGATGTGGGCAGAGGTAAGCAGCCAGGGATGGTAAAGGACCCTAGTTAACAACAGAGAGAAACTGGTATCATCTCTAAGGCTCACTGTGGTCACAATTAAAAGGGACACAGATCATGGCCTGGCAGGAAAGGATCAGGGGAGTAAACATCACGACTTTCCTCTCCTTTGTCCTGAGCCCCAGGAAGCCAGGAGGTAATGGAGCCGGGGTGATAGTCTAGCTTGTTTTCCATTGTTTTTTCCATTTTTCAGTCAAATCAGCCCAACATGAATTATAAATTCTCAGTGAATTGAGAGGATCTGGCCCAAGTATGCAATATATAAAGATTTTTAATGAGCCTTGGAATATCATTATATTTTATAGCTACATAGTTAAATACTATAGCCCTTTAGTAAAGTTTATATAAAAGAGATACCACCCTTTGATTACTCTCTCTACATATCTCGTCTTATGTCCATATTTGCTCCCTATACGATATTTTTACCGTTGTCTTAATAACCACTATGTTAACAGCTGAAAAAATCTAATGTTTCTCCAACTTCTGGGCTCTACGCCTTTGACCAACAAGCAAAAAGTTGCTGCCATTTTATATGTGTTCTCATATATTCATTCTCTGTACATTGAGGGAAAGCTTGGTGAATATACTTTGTCTGGAGAAAAGAAAAAAACACATTATAAAACAGTTGGATTAGTTTCTGGGAGAATGAACCTCACTAAAATAAATCTCAAGGTTTCTGCTGAGCTTTTGTGATTCCACACAAGTTAGTGTTTAGCTGAGCACCTCAACAAGGTTAGTTGGAAAGCAGCAGAGTTGTAAAGAGATGTTGAAGGAGCTGAATAATCCTGTGCATGAGTATGTGAGAATTTGGAGCTCTTTTGGAGTGAAAGGAAGAAGAAAAGGAGGAAGGCAACATGATAGGAGGTTGGAAAAGAGTTGTGAAAATGGTCGAAGGACTATTTTAAGGATGCCTAATATTTAATTTCGAATCGTTTTCCCCCAAATATTTGGTAAAGTTGGTTTCAGGACAAACATGGGTGAGTGGTTCTGATAAAATCCTAATAGGGAAATGATTTAAAAAAAAACAAAAACCCAGCAATAATGATAAAAAATAGATGCCATTTATTGAGTAGGTCTAGTATATGCAGGGCATTGTGCTAACACAGCTATACTACCTATGTCACAGTCACTCAGTGAGACAGATATTATCCTCCCTTTTTAGGTAAGGAGACTGAGGCTCAGAGAGGTTAAGTAGCTCACTTAAGGCCACATAGTTGGTACTTGGCGGAGGCAGAATTTGAAACCAGAACTCAGGCTCTTTTCATTACACTACCCTGCTTTCCCATTCTCTTCTCTGCACACCATCCTTATTCAGCTGTTGTTTAGACTCTAATGATCATTGACAAGAATCCCCTCCTTCTCTAACGCTGCCCATCTCACAGTCCAATGGTTGTAACTGTCGAAAGTTTCCATCTGTGAGTCAGATCTGTCTCCCCAGTTTCCACTCACAAGTCCTCTATCTGCTGCCTGGGCCACTAAGAACTAACCTAATCATTCTTTCACAGAGCAGGCTCTCTAATATTTGAAGATAAGGTATCAAGTACTACCATGTCAGACCCTACAGTATATGCTTTGTGAGAACAAGCATATCTGAAAGGGATCCTATTGCATGTGGCTTTATTCTCAACCACATAGGCCATTACTTAGTATTTACTTAGTGCATCAGTCAGCATTTGACAAATATTCATAGGATGGATGAAGGCCAGTCCAACTGGGAAGGTAGAGAGTATGGTTGGTGAGGCTGCAAACATATAAGAGACACTCCCCCCTCTTTCTCTACATATCATGGTCTTATGTTCATACTGCTTCCTCTAAGATATTTTATCTAAGTCTTAACAACCACTATGTTAACAGATCCCTAAAAAAAGTTAGAGACACCATTGTCAGAGACTATATTAAGTTCGCTTCCACCCCATCCCCCAACCACCTACCCTTGTTTCCACGTGGCCAATGTTCTCCTTTAAGCTAAACTTGTGGGGCTAATACATACTAAAAAGAGACTCTTATCTCATTCTTTATACACAACCCAAGACCTGATCACCATAGAGGAATGAACTGTCATTCTATACCAGTAACTGCTGGATCTATCTATCTATATCTATCAACAGGCATAAGTGGAGCTATTTTAAAATGGAGTCACACAAGCCATTCTGGAGGACTGCATTGTCTTACTCCTTAGACCTTAGGCATGTTTGAAAAATATTCAAAATAACCTCTGGACTGGGCCAGAACAGCACTGTTTTCCAGATAACTGTTTGCAAAGATAACAGGAAAGCTACAGACCTCCTGACTATAAGGACTGATAATTAAAGATATTCTTTAGAATCAGTGAAGAGCCATGTACGGCTAAAAAATAACTTATAAGCACCAACAGAAATTCCTTCTATTCATGTATTTTCCTTCCTTTTTTTTTTTTTTCATAAACACCCCTTGCCATCACCCCATAATCAGAATGCTATTTGGGTTTCTGCCTGAATCAGTGCTTCACTAATAGCTATCTTTGTGATCTCAAATAAAAGCTTGTTGCCTCTCTGGCTTTTTTAGGTTAAAAAATTATATATATATATGATAAATAAAAAATTATATATATATATGATAAATTTCACACCTAAGTAAGTCTGTTGCATCCAAGACATAACAAAGCACTGGGAGTGGATACATGGGGAAGCGCTAGTGGAGAAGGGACAGCAGTGATTTTCACTGTAGACTGCATCCTTCACAGCTCTGTCTATGCGATTAAACCAGTATTAGAAATTGTCTAGTCTTATATTTACTGTTTATAAATCTAGAAAGGGTGGAGCAGCTAAACTGTGACCCTAAGATCAGTTACAGAGATGGGCAGGAGGAACACAGGGACCCTTTAGATACATTGCTGACTATGCCAAAATACCTGCAGATAATGCTTCAAGTTGCCTGCCAATTATCTTCTCCTGGCACTGCTGTCACTGATATTACTTAGGGTCACACGCCTCAGTGTTCGCTATTCGTATTTAGGTGCCACTGTTTGGCAAAGGTGGGTTCCTGAAGCTCCCTGGGTCTCAGTTTCTTCACCTGTAAATGTGGGGCTTGCATTGCAGAGAAGAGTTTCTGAAACGCGCTCGCAGAAGGACACTGCGTTGTTTGGGAGCGGAACGCAGGCCCGTGATGCCTTTTGGCTGAGGCTGGGAGGGCAGAGGAAGCAGAAAGGTGGGATTCGTTCCAAAAGGGCGTGGGAAGGGGGATGCGCCACCCTGCCAGCGCGACCTCGCGGCCCGGAACGCCGCGGCCCCCTCGGGCTTTC